ATATATACATACATACACACACACACGAGAATAAAGTCATAATATTATGAGATTAAAATCATAATATTCTGGCCTTCACACAAAAAAGCATGCACACCACTGCATTAAAATGAGGAATGTTCAGCAACTTGTCAAGTTGTTCTTTAGTATTGCTTAAAATAAGTAGTTAATCTTTTAGCACGTCTTCTCCTTTGTCTTCCGGCTGCTCCCTTTAGGGGTCGCCACAGAGGATCATCTGCCTCCATCTCATCCTATCCCCTGCCTCCTCTACTGTTACACCAACCATTTCCATGTCCCCTTTCACTACATCCATGAATCTTCTCTGCGGTCTTCCTCTTCTGCCTGGCAGCTCCATCTCCAACATCCTTTGTCCAATATATCCACTATCCCTCCTCAACACATGTCCAAATCATCTCAGCCTGGCTTCTCTTCAAAGAACAGATCATTTTCAACAAAATGACACACAGAAAGAAGAGCTGCTCTGGTCCTGCTCCTCAGCGCTGCGTTACTCCTCGTAAACAAACACGCCCACAAAGTTCTGACCAATCACACACTGTGAGCCACTAGGTCTGCATCGCAGAGTTCTGACTGGGGATAATGCACATGATGGCTTGATAGACAGAAGTTATGCAATTCTTACGTCACTCAGCAGGGGGAACAAGATGTGCGACTCGAAGTTTAAACCAGCCTTGATAGTGGATTGATGTGAGTGGGGTTCTGGTTCAGGACCTGGGCAGCAGAACCCAGAGTTACTGGAAAAAACAATCACTGATTTCCTGCCATGCTGGCTGCAGGAATGTTACTGTCACGTTCTGCTCCTGCTGTAGGAATGGTTATACTTCATACTACGTATAAACTACTGCATGTATTCTGGGGTGGCCGAGGCCCACACTGAGGCCTGAGGTGCCCCGTGTCTCCACATGCTGGGAGGCGGCTGGTACATCTCAGACAGGGATGAGCTGCAGTCAGCTTGTGCTGAAATGGGGCGTGCTGGAGGAGGCATGTCGTGCGGCACAGAGGGGAGAGTCTGCGGGTCATCCTCACTGTCCTCATCCAACACCTGGGAGAGCACTTTGCTGATAGCAGACCTCGCCTTCCTAAACTTGCGTTTGTTCATCGTAAGGAGGCTATCACAAACGTAGTTTGCAAAAACTGTGCGCTCACTGATGGACTGTGGCTGTCTGAGACATTTCAGTCGCTCCCAAGACTGATGCATCCCCTTCCGGAGAGACTGTAGAAGGTCTTCCTCCTGGGCTCTCGTGTCCCTGTGCACTGTGCTGGTGGAACAGGTAGGGGAGGAGGTCCTATCATCAGCATCGGCCAGCTCCTCAAGAGCAGCTTCTGCAGCCACCAGGTTGCTGGGTTGAGCAGCAGGAGCAGTCTTTACCTGCCAACAGAAAATAACAAGTCATTAAAAAACACATTGTAAAAACACACGATTATTAAAAATAAATAAATAAATACATAAATAAAAGGTTTTTACTTACAGTGTACACAGGCCGGTGTCTGGTCACAGCTTTCATGAAGCTGAAGTTGTCCATCACCCACTGCTCCCTCTCTGTCGGGTTGGGGGCCACATGTTCCCTTTTCCTTTTGCTGAGGCGGGTGTAGTTGTCCCTGAGGGACTTAAACCAGCCCCTCAGGTAATAGGCAGGCTTGCCCATCCTCTCGCCCTGGTCCTCCCACAGCTTGTTCTTCTTTTCCTTCCTCCTGTAGTCTGTGCGTTTGATGTCCCAGAGCATGGGGAACTCCTGCAGGAACTCCAGCATGGACTTCTCCTCCTCAGCGTCTAGAGAGAATGCAGTCTTCTTGGCCCTTTTCTTCTTGAGCTTGGGGGCTTGAGAGGAGGCTGAAGCCATAGCTGGTACTGAGGAGGCATTGCAGCGTTCGCGTAAGCGGTATTGGCCATCATTGTCTGAATGGTTGTCAGATACAGATGAGGGTGGGGGATGGGGGGTATAAAAGTGATGATAATAAAGTTTGATTGAGTCGACCACGGCCCCTTGCTTTATTCACAGTGCTGAAAAAACGGTTTGACCCTTCCTGATTTCTTTTGTTTGCAAATTTGTAAGACTTACATGTTTAAGATTAAACTAATTTGAATATTAGATGAAAAAATAACACAAGTAAACAAACAATGTAGGTTTTTATGATTACATAAATCTGCTCAGCAGAGATTTCACGATGCACTCCGTCAACCTGTCTGAGCTCCAAAGAGCTGGAAGGAGATAATGTGGGGCGTGGCTGTTGAAATGAAGAAAAAGTATAATTTTAGAACACATGGTAATTTAGAGTCAAAAACATGTAAGTGAAATTTTCATCTATTGGTCTCATCTATTTCATCTAGGGCTGCAACGATTAGTCGATTAGTCGACGACTAATCGATTATTAAAATAATCGATGACTAATTTAATAATCGATTAATCGTTTTCTTTTTTTTTTGTTCTTTACTTTGTTTTTCTCTCCAAACTGCTTTGACACCTTCCACTGCCACATCTGCCTTTCTGTCCTTGACACACATGCACAGTAGTGGTAACTGGGGTAGGCCGTGGACGTCACAAGACATTATACAGACAGGCTCTGGTATCATGGCTACCTGACAACAGAGCTCAAAGTGTGGGATCATTTTAAGAAAATGAAAGAGAAACCTGTGCAATATCTGCAGAGCAGAACTTGCCTTCACAGCAGTTAATTTTTGTTAGCATATAGCTAAAATCTAACAATATAATAGCAGCTGCATTCTGGTGCGACAAGCTGTATGTTTTATATTCAGCTAACGTATGATCCGATTAGTCGACTAATCGAAAAAATAATCTGTGATTAATCGATTATAAAAATAATCGTTTGTGGCAGCCCTAATTTCATCTACCTAATTTTCATCTTCATAAGATACAGTTCATGTCTGACATATTTGTTAACTAATTAACTAATTTTTGGTATCTTTGTCCTGAAAATGGATCTAAATCCATACAATACAGACTCTCTACAACAGTTTCCTCTATAGACATTTCACTTCCTGCCTTCAATTCTAAATTGCACGTCAAAACCATGTGACTGAAACCCAGCTATTAATTGAGAATATTTTTTGTGCTTTCACACAACCCTAGAAGCCAGACTTTATGATATTTTGGTAGACAGCAGAATTCATGGTTCCATTCACTACAGAAAATCTTCCAGGTCCTGAAGAAGCAAACCAGCCCCAGACCATCACACTACCAACCATCCAAAAGGTCTTGTCTTGTCAGTCCACTGAGTATTCTCCCAAAAGTCTTGAGGATCATCAAACGCCTAAGGAATCAGGAAGGGGGCAAACACTTTTGCACACGACTGTATGTATTGTGTGGGTGTATTTTTTCTGTAACATAGTGTATCAGGAGCTGAAGTTACTGTATAGAGGTGGCTGGTAATGTGTGCCTTCATCCATCTCTGACAAGCACCAATCATTACTTACCTATTCTAGTTAACTTTACTGTAGTTCTCCGGCTGATCTCCAGATCTGGATCCTCCTGTTCCTTTTTAATTTGTGGAAGATCTGGTTCCTCCTGTTCTTCTTTAATCTGCTGAGGTTCTAGTTCCTCAGGGTCCAGACTGCAGTTTCTATCCTGGTTCCAGAGCTGCTGGTCCATGAGTACCCCATCCTCCGTATAGACATGATGCTCTGAGAATTCTACGGAAACAAAAAAATAAATAAATAAATAAATAAATAAATAAATAAATAAATAAATAAAAAAAAATAAAAAAAAAAACAAGACCAAAGTTAACAAATTGAAACACAAAAGAATAATGTAAAAACAATGAGCTGAGAAATTAGTTTGTGATCTGCACTTGACAGTTTTCTGTTTGTTTGGTGATTGGCTGCCCCAACACCCAGACGTTTAACAATTTCCTGGTGGATAAAAACACAGAAATTAAAATGTTACGTTGTAAATGGTACAGGTAAATGGTACTGAACTTATAGAGCGCTTTTCAAGTCCCTCCGGACCCCCAAAGCGCTTTACACTAACAGACATTCACACTCACATTCACACACTGAAGATGGCAAACTACACTGTAGCCACAGCTGCCCTGGGGCRCACTGACAGAGGTGGGGCTGCCATGCACCGGCACCACCGGACCCTCTGACCACCATCAGTAGGCAAGGTGGGTGAAGTGTCTTGCCCAAGGACACAACGACTGAGACTGCTGGACGGGGGATCGAACCAGTGACCTTCTGGTTCCAGGACGACTCCCCTAACCACTCCGCCACAGCCGCCCCACCGTTGTGTTAGAAGCAGCCGCACCTGTTGGCGTGGAAGTTTTTAGAGTCAAGAAGACTTGGATTTAGCTGTTTGTATAATCTGTAAGGTGTTTAAAATAAAGTCAGAGGCACAAAAGGTGGAGAGGGGTCCAGAAGGAAGCAGAGTTTCCTACAAATAAATATTATTTGAGTGTTGTGGCCTATGTCTTTTTTTTTGTGTGTGTGTGTGGGGAGGGTGGGGGCTCTTATTGCGTCTAAGAAGTGGATTTCCATGACGTTTTTTTCCCCTTAATATTTGACTGCAATCCTTTTTTGGATTTTTTCTTTGTTTTGTTTTTAAACCAAAATGTTCCCATAATATTGGACCTGTTTATGACAGAAGCATGTTTGTATTTGCTTCTGTGCACCGAATAAGGTCTTGTTCCAAAATTCAATTGTTTTTGAGCCTTTAAATTACACAGAAAACACCAAATCTCATGTCAGAAATACTATCCATGAACAATATTTTTGAAAAAATACAACTGATTTTGAGCAAAAATATCTTAAACATTTGATATTTTACATGTGAGCTAGAAAAACGTTCTCTTTCCAAATGCAAATTGTAGATATTCTAATTGTGTTTGTTTTTATCAAATAGCCCTATTAAAACAAAGCTAAAAAAAGAGGATAATGGTCAAATCCAAATGTATTGTTGCTACTTACAAGTCAAATCAAGCCATATTTATTGGAACCATGATATCAGGGTGATCCAGGTATCAAAATGCACTTCAATTTGATGTGATGGGTTTCATATCATAAACACTGCTGTTTCTACAGTTCCATTAACCAAGTAACGAAAGCATGTCATGTCATCAGTTTGGATATTACAGAAATTTCCTGTATTTAACAACTTTAGTCCTAATTATGTAGAATGCTTTACATTGTAATACTAGGTTTGTAATTACTTATAGGTAGGAAGTTTAAACATGATAAAGAACTGCACCTGGTTTAACAAGCAGATATAGCAAATGACTAGGTAATGTATCAGTTACATAACCCCAAATTAATGAATTAAGAACAAAAAAAAACATTTGTTTACTTTGGATTATTTTCTCTTTGGTTGTTCCTAGTGTTGTAGTACTTGAAACCGGTCTTGGTCTTAAGACTGGTCTCAAGACCACTTTTTGATGGTCTTGGTCTCGTCTCGGACTCAACAGCATTTGTACTCGGTCTTGTCTCGGTCTCGGACATTGAGGACTCGGAATTTTATTTCAAGACCAGTCAAGACCACAACTGTGGAAATATCACTAAATAGCCAGAATATTGTGTTCAATTGATTTGTTAACAATCTTGCTTTTATTGGATTTCAAACATACTGATTCAAATCCAAACCTGACTCATTGCTATTTATGTATTTTTGTTAGCAGCTGTCAGCCATCCGCACCCCCCGTCACTTGCACACAGCACTCCCGGAAAGTGAACCACGGTTCTCCGGGAGCGGTAAAGGATGTCTTCAAAATTTTAAGTAAAAAATTTGGCTACATTATTCATAAATAATATCATTGTAAAACAACAACAACCATGAGAAAGCGTTCAGCAACTTGTAAATTTGGCAGTGCTTCACTTTCAGAGACAGTGGGGACAACATCAAACTTTTACTGTCACTAATGTTAACAATCTGCCTCTGTAGCAAAATTCTTTCTTCTGCCCTCACACAAAGATTTTGTCAATATTAGCACTACATATTAAGTAAGCTAATGTGTGACAAAAAAAGTGTTTAGTCAGCACCAATTGTTCAAGTTCCCCCACTTAAAAAGATGAGCGAGGCCTGTGATTGACATCATAGTTAGACCTCAACTATGAGAGACAAAATACCTTTTTCCCCCACTGTACATGTGTACACAGTACTCCATCTTTTAGGACACTTTTTTTTCTTGGTCTTGGTCTTGTCTCGGTCTCGCCCTCCCTCGGTCTTGGTCTCGACTTGGTCCAAACCCTAAAAGTCTTGGTCTTGTCTCGGTCTCGCCATCCCTTGGTTTTGGTTTCGACTCGGTCTAAACCCTAAAAGTCTTGGTCTTGTCTCGGTCTCGAGACACTGTGGTCTTGGTCTTGACTTGGTCTCGGGTTAGGTGGTCTTGACTACAACACTACCTTCGAGGGATGCAGCCCCTGAATTTTGACACAGCCAGAGACAGTTTTTTTCACACTGAGAGACATTATGATAGCGTTTAGCTTCACTGCTCAATGATGATGAGTGCTATTTTTAGAACATGCTCCACAGGAAACGTCCACGCTAAGTAAACAAATGTTAGCCTGGCGAGGAGGCATAAAGCCATCAGATGCCTCTGACTTTTAAAATTTTTATTTGTTTGAAATTGTGTGGCCGGCTGGATAAGAGTTATGAGGGCCGAAAATGGCCAAGAGGCCAGAGGATCACCAATTCTGATTTAGAAGAAGAAATGAATTTCAGGTTTTTTTTGTTCACTCCCAGTGTTGCATACCTGCAGGGTGGAAGTTTGTCTGAACTGGTCCACGCCGACCATCCATTTCTTCCTGAAACTGGACCCAGCTGTTCTCAGAAAACACACCAGAAGGTTCTCCTCCTTCAGTGGAAAACACTCAATCTCCTGCCTGGTCCAGAGTTTAGTCTGGATGTTTATAATCAGAGCTGTTTCTGGTTCCTGTTGTTCCAGAGAGCGTCTCCCTCCTCCTCATAAACACGTGGGAGTTCTGAAGGAACAAATGGACAAAATTACTTAAACAATAAAACACACAATAAAACATTCAGGTTGAAACTTTCCAAAACTTCCAGTGGAACAATAAATAACATAACAAATAATAAAAGGTTTTTGGTGACCTATATTTGGATTTCATGTCTATCATCAGTTTAACAATCGATAACCAAAATTACTTCAAATAAACAATCATTGAACGCTAACTTGGACACTTAAAAATATAGAGAATATTTTCACTTATAAATTAACAACTAACCCCCAATTTACACTACTTGCGTTCCGTCTCCACTCCGCTCCGGTCCGACCTCCGCAGCAAATACGCACCATTATAATCAATGAGAGTGTTTACACTGGCTGCGCACGGCGGCGCAGGGCAACGGTGAGCGGACGGCGATCCGTCAAAATTAGATTTGATCCTATTTTTTGACGGATGCTGGAGCTGCACCGGAATCAATTTTTAAAGATTACGTCGCACCAACAGGAAAAGAAACGAGCACATCATCCGTATTTTCAAAATAAGACACTATTCGGCAGAATAATTTGTCAGAAAAATGTTGAAATTGTAGCTACATTAATAAATATATGGATATATTTCTACACAAATGCTGTCAGAATGTATCGTTCTGTTTGGGAAGCAGATGGAAATGCAGCATGAAGTATATGTGTACACACAGGATACATGTGGATTTTATTTTGAAATCAGAAGTTTCAGAAAGCCAACAGCGAGAGAGTTTCAATTTAGAATCAAAAGCCTTTATATCAATGTTTTCAGCTGTGTTTGGAGTAAACTTTCACAAAATTATTTTTTTCTGTGACTTCCACACTTATCACTGAATTTATTGCACGATCTCCTTCCTGCACGTCTGTCGGACCGGAGCGGAGCGGAGGTGGTGTAAACTGGACTTGAAACGCATGCCTGCAACCTGCGCAGCTGAGCGGAGCGGAGACACATGTAATGTAAATTGGGGGTAAAACACTCCATAAACCAACATATATATATATA